GTGCGAGGAGGGGGTGGGGGGCGGCGGGGGGGCCCCCCCCGGGGCCGCGGGTGCCGGCGGGCGCAGGCGGGCAATGGTGACGGGTGCTCTCGGTGCCAGGGCCGGCGGTACACCAGCGACGTGGCCAAGCTCTACTCCATCAACGTCACCAACGTGCTGGGAGGGGTGGCATCCTTCTGCCGGCGCTGCGCCCCCGAGCCGGCCGGATCCTGCGCCCCGTGTCCCCCCGGGAACGCCGTGGACCGCGGTTCGGGCGCTTGCCGGCCCTGCCCGCCCGGCACCTACCTGCGGGGTCACCCCTCTGACGGGACCCCCGCCTGCCACCCCTGCGGCCCCGGCACCCGCAGCAACCAGGTGCCCGTCCCCACGTGTCCCCCGGGGGTGGGGGTCCGCGGGGTGATGTCCCCACCGGCGCCCCCGGGCAGCCCAAACGGGTGATGGGGTGGGCCCCAGAGGGGTGACACCAGCCCCCCACCCAAGGTGGGTGGCACCAGCCAGCTCCAGGAGGGTGACACCAGCCCCCCCACCCCATCATGCGTGGGTGACACCAGCCCCTCTGCTCATCCCGGCTGGGTGACACTGTGTGGGTGGGTGATGCCAATCCCCAGCTGTCCCCAGGGAGGTGACACCAGCCCCCCGGCCATCCCAGGTGGGTGACACTGTGTGGGTGGGTGATGACAGCCCCCCAGCTGTCCCCAGGGAGGTGACACCAGCCCCCCCTGGGCATCCCGGGTGGGTGACAGGGTGGGTGACAGCATCTGACCCTGGGTGGGTGACACCCCCTGCCCTGGCTGTCCCTGACGGGCGATGCCAGCCCTCCGCTGTCCCCAAGGGGATGACCCCCGCCGCCCCGCCTGTCCCCAAGGGGTGACACTACCCGTCCCCAACGGGGTGACGCCAGCCCCCGGCCGTCCCTGACTGCCACCTCCTGCCACCCCAGCTCCGCTCCCTCTGCTACAACAACTGCAGCTTCTCCCTGGCGCTGCCGGGCCGCATCCTGCGCTACGACTTCTCGGCGCTGGCCGCCGGCACGGCCTTCACCAGCGGCCCCAGCTTCACCGCCAAGGGCCTCAAGTACTTCCACCACTTCAACATCAGCCTCTGCGGCAACCAGGTGAGGCCGGGGCGGCTGGCGGGAACGCGGGCGTATGCAGCGCAGACACGCGTGTGCATGCATCTGTAGTGCAAACACGCACGCACGCGGTCATGCAAACACAGGGAGCCGTGCAAACATGCAAACTAGTCATGCAAATGCATGCATGCGTTGTGCAAGCACAGGTGTACATGCAGTCACACGTGCACACATACATAGTCATGCAAACATGTGCAACGGCACACTCGTACACCCATGGTCACTCGCACACTCATGCAAATGCATGCACGCTCGTGCAAACAGACATGCAAACATGCACACTCGTGTAAACACGTATGCACACCTGCAGTCACGCACACACAGGCAGTCATGCAAACCTATGCATGCAGTTGTGCAAACACAGGTGTACATGTGGTCATACGTGCACACATGCACAGGCATGCAAACACACATGCACACAGTCGTACAAGCACACAGGCACACTCATGCAAACGCACCCACACCTGCACATGCATGGAAACACATGCAAGCATGCACAAACACTCATGCACACTTGCACACTCACACAAACACATATGCACACCCGCAGTCATGCAGACGTGCACATAGTCACGCAAACACATGCCATCATGCGAACGCATGCGTGCAGTTGTGCAAACACAGGTGCACATGCGGTCATACTAAAAGACGTGCAAATGCGCACAGTCGTGCAAATGCACGCACACAGTTGTGCCAACAGGTGTACATGCAGTCAGACGTGCACACACGCACAGCCACGCGAACACACGTGCAAACGCATACAGTCACACACAGTCACGCACTCGTGCAAACACCTGCACGCTTGTGCAAACACACGCGCAGACATGCACAAACCCTCGCGCACACTTGCGCCCTCACGCACGCACGCGCGCAGCGGTCGCGCGCACAAACGCACGCCGTCGCTTGCAGCCGCGTGTGCCGTCGCCGCTCGGCCTCACCCCCCTCTTCCTCGCCGCCAGGGCAGGAAGATGGCCTCCTGCACCGACAACGTGACGGACGCGCGGCTGCCGGCGGGCGAGGGGGACCCTGCCCGGGTGGTGACGTCATACGTCTGCCAGTCCATCCTGGTGCCCCCTGACGTCATGGGCTACAAGACGGCCGTGTCCTCGCAGCCCGTCAGCCTGGCCGACCGCGTCGTGGGTGAGCCGGCGCGCGGGGTGCCAACGCGGAGCAAACCCCCGGGGTTTGAGCTTCATCCTCGCCGTCCCCTCCCGTGGGACCCCGCTGGCACTGGGACACCCCGCTGGCACTGGGACGCCCCGGTGGCACTGGGACACCCCGCTCTCGCCGCAGGCGCCCCCGCCGGCTCCACGCTGGACGGCATCACGTCCCCACCCGAGCACTTCCCGGCCGGCCACCCCGACCTGCCCGACATCGTCTTCTTCTACAGGTGAGGGTGGGTGACCGGGGAGGGGACCCCCACCCGCACAGGGACCCCCCCACCCGC